CATCATCCACATTGTCATCATCATCAGCACCGTCATCATCATCATCAGTCCTCTTCCCTCCCCCTCCTGTTCCTCATCATCACCATCATCCTCAGCATCAGCATCCTCATCATCATCATCCTCATCATCATCATCAGCAGCAGCATCATCGTCCACATCATCATCCTCATCATCATCATCATCATCATCGTCATCATCATCCTAATCGCCATCATCATTATCATCCTCAGCACCGGCATCATCATCATCAGTCCTCCTCCCTCCCCCTCCTCTTCCTCATCATCACCATCATCCTCATCATCATCCTCATCATCATCATCCTCATCATCATCATCATCATCATCAGCCTCATCATCATCTTCATCATCATCATCATCAGCATCATCTTCATCCTCATCATCGTCATAAGCATCATCAGCATCGTCAGCATCATCATCATCAGCATCCTCATCGTCAACATCATCATCATCATGCTCAGCATCGTCATCATCATCAGTCCTCCTCCCTCTCCCTCCTTTTCTTCATCAACACATCATCATCATCTTCATCATCAGCATCGTCATCATCATCCTCATCATCATCATCCTAATCCTCATCAGCATCATCATCCTCATCATCATCATCATCATCATCATCAGCATCATCTTCATCATCATCATCATCATCATCATCCTCATCGTCATCATCATCAGCATCGTCATCATCATCAGTGCTACTCTCTCCCCCTCCTGTTTTCATGATCACCATCGTCCTCATCATAATCATCCTCATCATCATCGTCATCATCCTCATCATCATCGTCATCATCATCATCAGCATCATCATCCTCATCAGCATCATCATCATGCTCATCAGCATCATCCTCATCATCATCCTTAGCATCATCATCCTCAGCAGTCCTCATCCCTCCCCCATCCTGTTCCTCATCATCACCATCATCATCATCATCATCATCTTTATCATCATCAGCATCATCATCATCATCATCCTCATCAGCATCATCACCATCCTCATCATCATCATCCTCATCATCCGCATCATCCTCATAATCATCAGAATCATCATCATCGTCATCATCATCCTGATTATCATCATCATAATCCTCGTCATCATCATCATCATCGTCACCATAATTATCAGCATCGTCATCGACATCATCATCAGTCCTCCTCCCTCCTCCTGTTCCTCATCATCATCATCATCATCATCATCTTCCGCATCATCATCATCATCTTCCTCACCATGATCATTCTCATCATCATCCTCATCATCATCATATGCATCGTCATTATCATTATCATCATCAGCATCATCACCCTCATCATCATCATCCTCATCACCAGCATCATCATCATCATTATCATCATCATCCTCATCGTCATCATCATCATCAGCATCGTCATCATCATCATCAGTCCTCCTCCCTCCCCCATCCTGTTCCTCATCATCACGATCATCATCATCATTATCATCATCATCCTCATCATCATCATCAGCATCCTCATCAGCATCATCATCCTCATCCTCCTCATTCTCATCATCATCCTCATCATCATCCTCATCGGCATCATCATCATCCTCAGCATCGTGATCCTCATTCTCAGCCCTCCTCCCTCCACCTCCTGTTCCTCATCCTCATCATCATCATCAGCATCACCACCCTCATCATCATCATCATCATCATCATCATCATCATCATTATCATCATCATCATCATCATCATCATCATCCGCATCACCAACATCCTCATCAGCATCATCATCATATTCATCATCGTCATCATCATCAGCATCAGCATCAGCATCCTCATCATCATCATCCTCATCACCATCATCGTCATCACCATCATCATCCTCACCGTCACCATCATCATCAGCATCGCCATCATCATCATCAGTTCTCTTCCCTCCCCCTCCTGCTTCTCATCATCACCATCATCCTCATCCTCATCATCCTCATCATCATCATCTTCCTCATCATCCGCATCATCCTCATCATCAGCAGAATCATCATCGAGGGTGCGCCGCTGGATCTCCCCAAGGGGGGGGGGGTTGGACCCCCCCCCCTCCCCCCCTTCCCCGATCCGTCGTCGGGACCCCCCCCCCCCCTCCCCCCCTTCCCCGATCCGTCGTCGGGACCCGCCCCCCCTCCGCCCCCCCTTCCCCGACCCGTCGTCGGACCCCCCCCCCCCTCCCCCGTTTCGCCACGCCGCCCTCTGATTCCGGAACCCGACCCCCGCCACCCCTAGTCCTCACCCTAACCCAACCCCCTAATCCTAACCCCAACCACTAAGCCCAGCCCCAAAGAGCACTCACTACTCACTACTCACTACCAACTACTGACTACTCGCTATTCGCTACCCACTTCTCGGTACCCCCTACTCACTACTCACGACTCACTACTCACTATCCACTAGTCACTACCCACCACCCACTACTCGCTACTCACTACTCACTGCTCCCTCCTCCCTACTCACTACTCACTACACACTCCTCACTACCCACTATTCAATACTCACTACTCACTAAGCACTATTCACTACTCCCTACTCACTACTCACTAACCACTACTCATTACCCACTACCCACTATCCACTACTCGCTACTCTCTACTAACGACTCATCGCCCACAAATCACTACTCACTACCCACTACCCACTACTCGCTACTCCCTTTTCCCTACACAATACTGACTACACAGTACTCAGTACTCACTACTCGCTACTCCCATACTCGCTACTCAATATTCACCACTCACTCTCCGCCACTCACTATTCACTACTCACTACTTACTACTCCCAACTCTTTAGTCACATAGTCTCTAGTCACCAGTCACAAGTCACTAGTCACTAGTCACTACTCACTACCCACAACCCAATACTCCCCAATCGCTACTCACTGCCCACTATTCGCTACCCACTTCTCACTACTCACTACTCCCTACTCCCTACTCACTACTCACTACTCGCTACTCCCTACTCGTTACTCACTAATCACTACCCACTACTCACTCTTGACCACTCCCTACTCACTACTCACTACTCACTACGCCCTACTCGCTCCTCACTACTCGCTACTCCCTACTCGCTGCTCACTACTCACTACCCAGTGCCACTACCCACTACTCTCTATTCATCACTACTCACTACTCACTACTCACTACGCACTACGTATTACTCAGTACTCACTGATCAGTACTCACTACTCACTACTCACTACTCGCTACTCACTACTCACTACTCACTACTCACTACTCACTACTCACTACTCACTGCTCACTACGCATTACGCACTACCCACTACTCACTACTCACTAATCACTACTCGCCACCCACAACGCACTACAAACTACTCACTACCCACTACTCATTACTCCCTACTCCCTGCTCAGTACTCACTACTCGCTACTCGCTACTCCCTACTCACTACTCACTACTCGCCACTCACCACTCACTTATCAGTACACACTACTCACTATTCACTACTCACTACCCCCCACTCCCTACCCCCTACTCGCCACTCGCTACCCAACTACGCACTAACTCACTACTCACTACTCACCACTCCCTACTCACAACTCCGTACTCCCTACACGAGAGGGGGGGGAGTCCGAACCCCCCCCCCCCCCCCCCCTTTCCAGCCCCAGGGAGGGGAGGGGAGGGAGGGGTTCCGGACCCCCCCCCCCCCTTCAAGGGAGGGAGGGGGGGGGGTTCGGGACCCCCCCTCCTTAAGGAGGCAGGGGGGAGAGGGGTTTCCGACCCCCCCCCCCTTCAAGGAGGGAAGGGGGGGGGGGTTCTGGAACCCCCCCCCCCCTTTAGTGTATTCAGGGAGATCCACTGGCGCACTTTCCTCATCATCAGCATCATCACCCTCATCATCAGAATCATCCTCATCCTCATCATCATCATCATCATCATCATCATCATCATCATCATCATCATCATCAGCATAAGGATCAGCATCATCATCATCATCGTCCTCATCATCATCCTCAGCATTGTCATCATCATCAGTCCTCCTCCCTCCCCCTCCTCTTCCTCATCATCACCATCATCCTCATCATCATCATCCTCATCATCGTCATCCTCAGCATCATCATCCTCATCATCATCATCATCATCGTCTTCATCATCATCATCAGCATCATCATCATCATCATCATCCGCATCGACATCATCATCCGCATCATACTCATCATCATCATCCTCATCATCTTCATCACCCTCATCATCCTCATCGTCATCATCATCCTCAGCATCGTCATCATCATCAGTCCTACTCCTTCCCCCTCCTGTTCCCCATCAGCACCATCATCCTCATCCTCATCATCATCCTCATCATCATCATCCTCATCATCATCACCATCATCCGCATGATCATCATCTTCATCATCATCAACATCATCCTTATCCGCATCATCATCATCCTCATAATCAGCATCATCATGCTCATCATCATCATCCTCATCATCATCATCATCACCATCATCCGCATGATCATCATCTTCATCATCATCAACATCATCATTATCCGCATCATCATCATCATCATCCTCATCATCATCATCCTCATCATCATCATCATCCTCATCATCATCACCCTCCGCATCGTCACCATCATCATCAGACTTCATCCCTCTCCCTCCTGTCTCCCATCATCACCATCATCCTCATCATCATCATCATCCTCATCATCCTGGATCCTCATCATCACCATCCTCATCATCAGCATCATCATCATCAGCATCCTCATCATCCTCATCATCATCCTCATCGTCATCATCATCATCATCATCATCATCATCATCATCATCCGCATCGTCATTATCCTCATCATCATCCTCATCGTCATCATCATCATCATCATCATCATCATCATCATCATCATCATCATCATCCTCATCCTCATCCTCATCCTCATCCTCATCCTCATCCTCATCCTCATCATCCCTCCCCCTCCTGTTCCTCCTCCCCCCCCGGGAGCGGCGGGGGCCGGGGGCGCCCAGCGCCCCGTGGCTCGACGGCGTGCTGCGCCCGCCGCTGGCGACTGCGCCCCCGTCGTCCGCGTCGTCGCCGCCGGCGGAGGGCGCCGCCCGCTCCTCGGCGGCGACGTCGGACGGCCGTCGGCGACGGCGACGACCGAAGCCGCAGCCGCAGCCGCCGCGGCGCGGCGGCGGCGGCGGCGGCGGCGGCGCCGACGCCGACGCCGACGCCGACGCCGACGCCGACGCCGACGGCGGCGGCGGCGGCGGCGGCGGCGGCGACTGATCGGAGACGATCGCGGTCACGGCGGCGGCCGCGGCGGCGGCCGTCAAGGCGGCGGCGAGGACCATGGCGGCGGGTTGCAGGGCGGCAGGGCAGGAAAGGGGGCGGCTGAGAGAGGAGGAGGAGGAGGAGGAGGAGGAGGAGGAGGAGGAGGAGGAGGAGGAGGAGGAGGAGGAGGAGGATAGGAGGAGGGAGGAGAAGAGGAGGAGGAGGAGGAGGAGGAGGAGGAGGGTAGGAGGAGGAGAGGAGGAGGAACAGGAGGAGGGAGGGAGCGAGGGGACGTTTGATTAAAAACGTCGTCCGGTGAGGAGGCTGAAACAAGGAGGAAGGGAAAACGCCTGGCGTGGCAAAGGCTAGGCGTGGGGAGCTGCAATTGGGGACAGGCCCGGAACTCCGCGCAGAGGGAAGCGAAGGCGGGGGCAGGGAGAACGGAAGCAGGAAGGACGAGGACAGCAACAACGGGAAGGGGGAGGGCAAGCGGAGGTCTCCAGAGACAAAAAAGGGTGGATGTCGTCCAAAAGCCTCGGCAACCGGTCCTCCGATGTCCTCATCCTCTCGCTTCTCCTCCACTGTTCCTCGTTCTCATGAAATCCTTCCTCCCTGTGGCACCCCCGGAAGCGTCGGCAGTGGGGCGGGTCATGCGGCTCGCCCTAACACTTCCTCATCGTGTACGCCCCTGAGGCTTGAAGTGTGCAACACATTCAAGGATGGAGGGTGGGCCGTTGCGAAATGTTGCCCTCGCCCTAGCGGTGCGCACATCGTCTTTTATAGTGCATCCTCGGGGGACCTTGTCTGTCCCGTCGCGGCCCAATCCGCATCGAATCCGTGTCGAATCCATGTCGGACTCGTCGGATCCGTGTCGAATCCGTGTCGAATCCGCGTCGAATCCACGTTAAATACGCTCCGAATCCGCATCGAGCCCGCGTCGGACACAAGAAAAGACAACAATTTGGGGGACATGTCAAGTCCCCCGAAGATGCAACGTAACGTCTTGAAAGCGTGCACTAGTTTCAATCATGGAGGGCGGCGGGCCGTTTTTACATGCTGCTCTCGCATTAGCGCCGCGCGAAGTCGCCTCAACAGCCTGAAGCAGCGTCAAAGGTGGAAGGCGGGTCGTCTTCAAAATGTGGCTCTCGCCTCAACGCCGTGCAGTTTCCCTGCAAAAAATTGCAACCACCTCAAAAATGGAAGGCGGCGGTGTTCAACAGTATGGTTTCGCCTGAACGACGCGCACATGCGCCGGATAAGTTCACGCGAAGTTCAAGCATGGAAAGCGGGTCGTGGTTCACATGTTGTTCTAGCCTTCGCGCCGCCCACATTCGTCTCAACGGCTCGAAGCAGCTTCCAGGAAGCAGGGCGGCTCGTTTTCCAAAGGTGGCTCACGCAAAAGCGCCGCGCACTCGGTCTTGAATTATTGCAGCAGCTTCAAGGGCCCATTTAGGACTGCCAGGACGCGACGGTCACGTTCGGCCGAGGCACTGAAGTCCCAGGAAGGGTGCTCTGGACAAACGTAGAGCTACCAGGACGCAACAGCCACGTTGACTCAGGAAATTGAAGTCCCAGGATCTGTGTGTTGGCACGGCTGGGGGTTCTGATGGGTTTGTTGTTCAATAAAGCACTTCCCGCAATGAGAACAATGTCGCACAGGGCCTTCGAAGAGGGAACTTGGAGGAAGGTAGTATTGCAACATCTTGGGTTTCCACTGATCCTCCTCCTCCTTGTTCTTATCCTCCTCCTCCTCCTCCTCCTCCTCCTCCTCCTCCTCCTCCTCCTCCTCCTCCTCCTCATTTTTCTCCTCCTCCTCCTCACCCTCGAACCTGGACCTCTATCCTTCTGTTTCTCCTCCTCCTCATCCTCATCCTCCTGCTGCTCCTCCTCCTCCCCCTCCCCCTCTTCAACCCTCGTTCATCCTCCTCCTCGATCTTCGAGTTTCCTCCTTGTCCTCCGTATCGTCCTTCTCTTCCACCTCCTCATCGACACTCCGTCATAAGACCCCCCCCCGGGAGGAGGAACGGGGAGGCGAGGGGAGGAGGGGAGGAGGGGGGAGAACAGGGCGAGGAGGGGGGGACAGGAGAACGAGGGAGGAGGGGGGAGGAGAGGAGAGGGGAAGAGGAAGGATGAGGGGAAGGGAGGATTCGGAAAAGCATTAAATACAAGAGAACCCGAAAAAAACATATGCTAGCCAGCGTGGACCCCAAACAGTGTGTCCAGTAGTGTATGCGGTGCTATATAAGTTGTGCCACCCATGCGGTGCTATCTTTGCTGTGCAACACACGTAGTGCAATACACGTGGTGCAACATACACTGTGCAACATGTGCATTGCTTGATTTGTGGTGCTCCCCCCTGAGGTGGGGCATACGTAGTACGAGCCATGTTGTGAACGATAGGAGCGCGCAGCAGGCGCGAAAGACAAATCCGCCGACCCTGTGAGCGTGTGTGAGGGGCTTGTCTGTTCGAGTCGTCGTCTCCATCAGTCGTCGTCTCCGTCGTCCCCTTTCCCTGCACCCTCCTCAAGCTTGTCAGCGAGAGACAGTCTAGCAGTGTCGAAATCGAACCGAAAAAAACCCTCCTTCCCTTTGATACCTTCCCCGCGCCCGGGGGGGGGCCCACGGGGGGTCCCCGGGGGGGGTCGCCAGCCAAGTGCGCTTTCCCCGCGCGATTCCAAAACCCACGCGCGGTCCCCGCGCGTCCCGGAGAACCCCCGCGCGGTCCCCAGGACGCCCCACGGAGTCCCCAGGAGTTCTCCAGGGCGCCCTCAAGACGGCCCAGGAGGCCCCCAGGGCGCCCCCAGGACGCTCCAAGAGCACTCCCGAGAGGGCCCCAAGAGGTCAAACACATTGATTTCAAACTGGTCGTTTAAAGATATGGGCGTTCTCCCCGTTGCCACTTCCCGCCGCTCCAAGACGGCGCAAAAGGCCCACAACATAGCCCCAAGACGGCCCAAGAGGCCCCCCAGACGGCTTCAAAAGCGTGCCCAGACGGGGAACAAGAACGGACATTTCGAGCCCTCGGCCCCAGTAGACTCCCAGGAGGCCCCAAGAGGTTCCCAAGACGCCCCAAGAGCCCCACAAGAGCTCCCAGGGAAGCCCGAAGAAGCCCCCAAAAGGCTCCCAAGAGGCCCCCAAGAGCCTCCCTGAAGGTCCCAAGATTCCTCCCCACAAGCCCCCGAGAGACTTTCGAAGAGGTCCCAAGAAGCATCCCTGAGGACTCTGGTCCGTGTCAACGTCGTCGTTGTTGCCGCTGCCGCCGTTGTCGTCGTTGTCTCCCTTCAGGGTCGGCGGCACCGGCCGCAAGGCCTTCGCAATTGTGCAATCTCGTTAGTGCAACCTGCGTGGTGCAATCTATGTGGTGCAATCCACTTCGACTGTCTTGAAGCTGTCCTCTCCACTGCTCGTGCAAACATCCCACCCTCCCACCCGCAACTTGGACGCAAGACATCTTCAGACAAGACCGTGACGGTAGGTACTGCGTGGCACTTGGCCACGACACCGATGCCGACGACGACAGCGACATCGACGACGACGCCGACGCGACTGCGACGACACCGACGACGTCTCCAATGTTTTCGACGGCGACAACGACGACGACGACACCGACGACGACGACAACGACGCCGACGACGACGACGAAGACGACGACGACGTCGCCAACGGAGACGACGACGAGGGAGGAGAAAAAACGACGACGGCGACAACGACGACAACGACGATGGAGGAGGGAAGACGGCGACGACGCCAACGACGAAGAAGGAGGAAGGACGGCGACGCCGACGACGACAACGACGAGGGAGGAGGGAAGACGACGACGATGACAACGACGACGAAGACGACGACGACGGCGACGAAATAGGAGGGACGACGACGAGACGCCGACGACGGACGACGACGACTAGGGAGGAGGATAACGACGAGGGAGGAGTGAAGACCACGACGACGACGACGACGACGACGACGGCGACGAAATAGGAGGGACAACGACGAGACGCCGACGAAGACAACGAGGGAGGAAGGACGACCACGGCGACAACGACGACGGAAACGACGACGACGCCAAAGACGACGAGGAAAGACAGAAGACGACGACGGCGACGACGACGACGACGACGAGGGAGGAAGGAGGACGACGACGACGACGACGACGCAAGAGCGCGCGCGCACAATTTTGTTGAAAACCCGTGTTGCGAAACCTTGTGTTTTTGTATGTTTTTTGGACGCACGATTTCGACATTCTTCCGAAACCGAAGGTTTTTGAAGGATTTCGGCATACGCCCGCGACGACGCGCGCGTCTGCACTTCGTCCCGTTTTTTGCAGAGGATTCTCGCGACGGCACACGCGCAAGAGCGTTCGACAGATTTCGCAAGAGCTCGCGCGTAAGTTTTTTTTTTTGAATCAGTGTTGCGAAACCATGTGTTTTTATATATTTATTGGAAATTCAATTTTGAAATCTCTCCGGAACCGAAGGTTTTTTTAAGGATTTCGGCATGCGCGCGCCACGACGCGCGCGTGTGCACTTCGTCCTATTTTTCGCAAGGGATTCGTGAAAAAGTGATATGTTAGAACAAAACATGTCACCGCATAGTGATTTTTACAAGGGGACCGCCGGGGGGGGGAACCCGGCCTGGCTGGGATGATATGAATTCATATTTAGGATGGACATGTGGTCAGAATCATATGTAATTTACAGCACGCGCGGGGTAACCGATAAGTCCGGGGGGGGGTAGAATCTATTAGTCTTGTAGAAAGGAGAATCCATCAATGCTTAACTTGAAAATGTCCACTCCACTGCTCGCGCAAACATCCCAACCCCCCCCACCGCAACTTGTTTGCAAAATC